CCGCCGAGCCTGGGTGCTCTGTGAGGGAAGGGCACGGGGCGAGCTGGGCATGGGGAGGGCGGCGAGGACGTGCCTGTAGCCTGCTCCTGGGCCGATTCGCCCTCGTCCTTTAAGGGGAGGCAGTGACACGCCGGACACCCAGGAAGGACGCCGGGCAACCCTGTGGTACGACTACCGGCACTCCAGGGGAGGACGCGGCCGGGCACCCAGGGAAGGACGCGCCGCACTCCAGGGAAGGACGCGCTGCACCCAGGGAGTGACGCGCCGGGCACCCAGGGAGGACGCGCCGCAGTGACCCAGGCTGGGGACGGAGGCGACGGTGAAATTCCCGCCGGCATCCGGCCCCCGGAGGCACCCCCAGCAGTCCTGCGAGGATCCAGTGCCTTACTGCCTGGTCCTCCCCCCACGTCCTGCCTCGTGGGCTCACCCCCTCTCCTCCTCCCATCCCAAACTGACGTCACTTTGCCCCCTGCCGTCCCCAGGCTGTTCTCCACCTCAGGTCTCCTTCCACCCCGTCCGCCCTCTGCCAGCAGAGCGGCTGGCGCCTCACCCGCGCGGGGTCCCGGCAGGACACAGCTGTGCTGGGAGCGCGGAGCGGGACAGGCCTGTCCGACGGCGCCCTCTGTCGGCCCGACCGGGAATGACCACCGCGGCCGGGTCCTGAGGTGGTGGCACACGGCAGGTGCACACCAGACATGAACACACAGACGCGCATGTTCACGCACACGCACATGCGGCAACTGCACACTCAGGCACATGCACACTCGGATGCGTGCACACATGTGCGTGCTTACCCACACTCAAACACAGGGCTACACACACACACAGACACTATACACTCCCACACACACTCAGACACAGGGCTACACACTCCAAGGCCACAGACAAGCTCCCTACACAAACACAGGGCTACACACTCATACACAGACATGCCCTACACACACTCACAGGGCTACACACTCACACACAGACACAAGCTCCCACACACAAACACAGGGCTACACACTCATACACAGACACCCTCCCACACACACTCAGACACAGGGTCACACACTCATAAATGCACACACAGACACATACATGCTCCCACACGCAGCCCCGGCCGGCCAGAGCCCCTGCTTCCAGGGCACGAGGGCGCCGAGGAGAGGTGCTGTGGGCCTGCTGCATCCTCTTGGCTTTCAGCTGCCCGCAGGGCTCCAACCTAGCAGCAGAGTGGTTTGTCGGGCCCCAGAACAGTAGTGAAGACCTGGGTCACCCTGGGGGTGGCACAAGAACTGCCTGGGGCTTCAGAAAATCCAGACCCAGAAATAGGAGGTCCTCATGGGCCAGCATCAGGATCTGAGGTGGGCGGGCTTCGGGAGCCGGGTCTGATGTGGCACTGACAGCACGTCCTGCCTTCTAGCAAGGTCCCAGGTGGCAGGCACCAAGCACCAGGACCAGGAGCCTGTGTGTGGCTGGGGGTCTCCTGCCCAAGGCTGTCCTGTGCTGACCTGCACAGAGGCCTCCAGGCTCAGAATCCACCCAGGCAGGCCCTGACACTCGCTCCCTCCGCAAATGACCGCAGGGCCTGGACGCTCCTCCCCAGCCTTCCCAGGCAGGTTCCCTCTCATTCCCGCCCGCGTCCCAGCCCCTCTGCCCCAGCCCGTGGCAGGACTGCCACCCAAGCCTGGAGCTGACCTGGCCGAAGCAGAGTCAGCAGCTGTGGCCGAACAGCTCGTGGAAGAAGGAGCCAGCACATGGGTGAATGGACGAGCAGGCTCTGCCACCAGCACTCACTCTGCGGCCGAGGAGCCTCCATCCCGCGGTGCATCTTACTCCAGACCGCGGGGCTCCCACAGCTCCTGCACCAAGATGCCACAGAGCTGCCCCGCAGGGTGCGGAGGGCATCTGGGCCTGTCTTCAGCGACAGGAACGTGCAGACCCCACCATCCCCTCTGCTGGAGCTGGAGAACAGGCACACCACCACAAACTTCAGGACTCCCGACCGTCTCGGGTTCCAACATCCGCCTGACGAAAGGCCGGGGAAGTGGCACCCAGAAGCCGCTGGGCGGGAAGGGGGTGGGCCTGCCTGCTGTGCCTGGGCCTGTGCCCCCACATCCCACATGACAGCCTCCCCCGGCCTCCACTCTGCAAGGACGTGACAGAAACTTGACAGAATCCAGAGGGCCTAGGAACCTTGGTCCTGCAGAACTGTGCAGCCCACGGGGCGGCCCGCACTGCCCACCTAGTCCTGTATCCCTTCCGGGTTCTCCACTCCAGTTCCCTGGGCAGGCTGCCTCCTGGCTCTCAGAGATTTTACGGCTGGCTGTGGATGTTAGACGGTGCTAACTGGTTGGGCACCGTGGTTCATGCCTGTAATCCCAACACTCTGGGAAGCCATGGTGACAGGATCACTTGAGCCCAGGAGTTCAAGGCCAGCCTGGGCAACACAGCGAGAGATGGGCGTGGTGGTGTGCACCTGTGGTTCCAGCTGCTTGGGAGGCTGAGATGGGACGATCGACTGGAGTCAGGGAAGTTGAGGCTGCACTGAGCTGTGATTGTGCCACTGCGTTCCAGCCTGGGTGATGGAGCAAGACCCTGTCTCCAAAAAAAAAAATTGTAAAAGTTGGCTGGGGCCAGGCGTGGTGGCTCACGCCTGCAATCCCGGTACTTTGGGAGGCCGAGGCAGGTGGATCACCTGAGGTCAGGAGTTTGTGGCCAGCCTGGCCAACATAGTGAAACCCCATCTCTACTAAAAATACAAACATTAGCCTGGTGTGGTGACAGGCACCTGTAATCCCAGCTACTTGGGAGGTAGAGGCAGGAGAATCTCTTTTTTTTTTTTTTTTTTTTTTTTTTGAGGTGGAGTTTCGCTCTGTCGCCCAGGCTGGAGTGCAGTGGCCGGATCTCAGCTCACTGCAAGCTCCGCCTCCCGGGTTCACGCCATTCTCCTGCCTCAGCCTCCCGAGTAGCTGGGACTACAGGCGCCCGCCACCTCGCCCGGCTAGATTTTTATATTTTTTAGTAGAGACGGGGTTTCACCGGGTTAGCCAGGATGGTCTCGATCTCCTGACCTCGTGATCCGCCCGTCTCGGCCTCCCAAAGTGCTGGGATTACAGGCTTGAGCCACCGCGCCCGGCCGAGAATCTCTTGAACCTGAGAGGTAGAGTTTGCAGTGAGCCGAGATCAAGCCACTGCACTCCAACCTGGGGGATAGAGTGAGCCTCTGTCTCCAAAAAATAAATAAAATAAAAATAAAAGGTGCTAAGTGCACACTCATGCTCATAGGTCCATTAGTGGGTGAGCAGATGCACAAAACATGCCTTATCCACACAGTATTTTATTCAGCCTTAAAAATGAGAAAAATGCTGACACTTGCTGCAAAACGGATAAAACCGGAGGACACTCTGCTGAGTGAAATAAGACAGACGCAGGCAAACCCAGCATCCCTCGACTCGCACTGGTCCCCAGAGCAGCCACACTTCAAGTCGAGACACACAGTAGAAAGGGGCTGCCGGGGCTGGGGGAGAGCAACGGGGAGCTAGCATTTAATGAGCACAGAGCTTCAGTTTGGGAAGATGAGAAAGTTCTGAAGGCAGAGGGTGGCGGTGGCTGCACAACACAAATGTACCTAATGCCACAGAACTGTGCACTTAAAAATGGCTAAAATGGTGAATTTTATGTTATGTGGATGTAGGCAAGAGGAGGAGGAGAGAGAGAGGAATTCATTCACAATGCACGGACCCCATCTCTGAACTCAGCCACAGGTAGTTTCCTGGGCGTGGCTTCCTGGTCTCCAGACAGCAACTGCCAGGCTTCTGGAAGCCCCTCCTCCCCTGAGACCCCCCAGCGGCGTCCAGCAGGGCCGTCCCTAAGCCTCTGTGGGGGTGATGCTCTGGGCTGTACCCATGGTGCCACAGGGTTAGGACTGACCGAAACTGATGGTGCCACAGGGCTAGGGCTGACCGAAACTGATGGTGCCGCAGGGCTAGGGCTGACCGAAACTGGGGAGATTGTAGGAGAACATTTGTGCTCAAGTGTAAAATTCCACTTTGTCTTTCCGCAGCACACCTGGGCTGTCTGACTCCATGGGGACCCCACATCTTGGGAAAGCTGGGTGGACAGCTGATAGCGGGGCACATCGCTGTCATCTGAGACACTCAGGACCCCTGCCGGCAAAGGAACCCCAAAACCCAGCCTGGCTCTGCTGGCACACTCATTTCAACACTCCCAGCCTACGAGTCTGTTCCTGGGGTTCTCCTTTGACCTGGTTCCAACGCGTCACTAGTTTCCTCAAGAATTAGTTACAAAAAGTCTTTAACATGGTGTTCACTCTTAAAAAACAAAGGTGTTAAATAAAGCAACAGTTTTCTTTTTGAATAGTTTAATAGTTGCTATTTAAATAAGGCTTTGGCATGCTTTTCCACATTTTTAGGTTTTTTTCTTTACATGTACACCTTGCAAGATGTATCATTAACTCATGAAACCACCAGCTTGTCAGGCAATGAAAAGGGAGGTAGAAAGAACGCCAGAGGCCGGGTGCGGCGGCTCACGCCTGTAATCCCAGCACTTTGGGAGGCCGAGGCGGGCGGATCACGAGGTCAGGAGAACAAGGCCATCCTGACTAACACTGCGAAATCCTGTCTCTACTAAAAAATACAAAATAAAATTAGCCAGGCGTAATGGCGGCGCCTGTAGTCCCAGCTACTTGGGAGGCTGAGGCAGGATGAAGCAGGAGAATGGCGTGAACCCGGGAGGCAGAGGTTGCAGTGAGCCGAGATAGCGCCACTCACTCCAGCCTGGGCGACAGAGCGAGACTCCGTCTAAAAAAAAAGAAAGAGAAAGGATGGGCGGGGAGGGAGTGAGGGACGGAGAGAGAGAGAAGAAGAAAGGGAAGGGAAGGAAGGGAAGGAAGGGAAGGAAGGGAGGAAAGGAAGGAAGGAAGGGAAGGAAGGAAGGGAGGAAGGGAAGGGAGGAAGGGAAGGAATGAAGGGAAAGAAGGAAGGGAAGGGAGGAAGGGAAGGGAGGAAGGGAAGGAAGGAAGGGAAGGAAGGAAAGGAAGGAAGGGAAGGAAGGAAGGAAGGGAAGGAAGGAAGGAAGGGAAGGAAAGGAAGAAAGGAAGGAAGGAAGGAAGCCAGAAAGGTGGGTCTGTGTGTTCTGGTGCATGGGGCCCGCCCCCGAGGAAGGTGCCAACCGTCCCTGGAGAGCAGAATCACCAGGCCTGGGAAAGCCATGCAGGTTCGAGAGCCTGTGCCACGGCCATGCTGGGCAGGGCCCAAGGGGTAACCAGGCATCTGTCCACTGAGAACACTGCTAGTGCGGAGGGATCCACAGGAGGAGAGAGCGGCGCCAGGGTCCCAGAGATGGGTCAGGGTCTCTAACCCACCACCCACCCGTGCCCTGGGAGTCTCTGTCAGGCTGGGAGACGCAGAGACTCTGAGGTCGTGTCTCGAGGGTGGCTACCCGGGGAGGCTGAGCAGAGTCTGGAGACATTTCTGGCTGTTGTCTGACTGGGAGGAGGGAGGGTAGGTGCTGCTGGCAAGGGGTGGGTGGAGGCCAGGGATGCCTTTAAGCATCCTACAGCGCACAGGGCAGCTCCCACAACGGAGGACAGTCCGCCAGAGACATAGCAAAGTGGGCTGGGGTTGGGGAGGCTGCAGCCTGGTGCCAGCCTCACATCGGCAGGCGGGCGCTGCAGGAGGCTTGTGGAGAGCATGGCGGCTGCAGGACGCTTGGCGGGACCCACAGCAGCCACGGGAGACTCGGCGGGACCCACGGCACTGTGGGAGGCTCGGCGGGACCCACGGCACTGTGGGAGGCTCGGCGGGACCACGCGGAACAGATCGTGGTGGGAATGAGGCTGTGCCTACTAACAATAACTCCACTCACCCTAACGGCCACACCAGCCTGTGAGGAGGACAGGGCCAAGCCTGCTGGCAGGTGGGGAAACTGAGGCCCAGAGAGCAGCGAGCCTGGTCTGGACCCAGGCCCACCCCACCCTCCCGCCAGCTGGCGTGGACTCTCCTTAAGGAGCTTCAGGCTCTACACTGGTTTGCGTTCCTCTCTGCTCATGCGTCTGACATGGAGTGACCAAGTCCCACACACTGAGTCCCCTCTGTCCCGGGGCTGCTGGTGCCTGGGTCCTCGGAGAGGCTGTGGGGTTGGGAGCTAGAGGTCCTCGTGGGCGGAGCTCAGGTCCACCCTCTGGGCCTGTCCAAACACCAGGAAGGTGCACAGCCCCAGGTTGCTGATGATGGCCACAAGGTTGAACAGGCAAGTCCAGGAGCCCGTGGTCTCGATCAAGTAGCCGCCCAGACACACACCCACGACACCTGCCCAAGAGAGGCCCAGGCGGGCTGAGCATTCCCGGGCAGCCCAGGCCCCACGCCCACCCTAGGTCCCAGGGTAGTGCCGGGGAAGGGCTGGGGGTCTAGTGCCTGATAGAAGCCCCCATGGTTCCCAGGGCTGAATTCGGTGTCCCAGCTGTGGGTCAGGCTCAGACTTGGAGGGTGTTGGAGGGGCAGAGATCTCAAAGGCCATCCAGGAAATGGCCTGGTAATGAGTCCCCCTTGTCCCGCTGAGGGGGAAATGGGAACCACAGGCTGGCCCAGGCGAGGCTGAGCTGGAGAAGGAGCCCCCACCATCCAAGGCACTCAGCAGGGCCAGGCTGTGTCCCGGGGACCCTGGGCTACCAGGATTGGAACGTATTTGTGAGTCAGGGCAGATGGCGACCCTTGAGCCACCTGCTGTCAGCAAAGTCCAGTGGAACCTGGAAGGCAGCCACATCCTCCTCTCCTGGGCCTGCTCTGGGGTCTGTGCCCTCCCCTGACACCGGGACCCCCTCTGAAGGGAAGCACACCCCCACCCTGCAGCACCTCGGTGGGCTCAAACCCACAGACAGGCAAACTCCTGGGCGCAGAGCCCCGCCCCTCACCTGCCAACGCCCCAGCTGTGTTGGCCACACCTGTGAACAGGCCGGAGCGAGAGAGAATACGGACAGTCAGTGAAAGCCCTCTGGGATCTCCCATGGCCCACCCACCTGGAGGCCCAGGGAGGGGCAAAGCTGGGGTGGGCAAGGGCCTCACCAAACAGAAAGCCGGCGCAGGACGGGGCCAAGTCCTGGATGTTAACGGAAATGCCACTGCGGGGAGGAAAGAGGGTGGTGAGCGGCCCTGGCCACCACCGAGCTCGCGGCCCAGGGCTGTCAAGGGGGAAGCGAGGAAACAAGGTCTAAGTGGAGCCACGGGAGGGGCTGGGAGACACTCAGGCCTGCTCCCTGGCCAAAACATGCCAGCCCTGCACACCAGGCCAAGCCGAGCCCCAGCCGCCCGTCTTCATGGAGGACCTGGTGCAGGAAGTGTCTCCTGAGAGTAAAGCACTGTGGGGAAAGCACGTTCGCACCAATCACGCACACGTGCTGCTCACTGATGGGAAGTGCTGGTTCCTACAGAACTCCTATTGAGTCTTTGATGCAGTCGCTGCCCAGCAGCTTGGGAAGGGGGTGAAGTGTGAGGAAGAGACTCAGAGAGAGGCGGACAGAGATCCCTCTTCACATGCGCGGCCCTGGGGCATGCGGGCAGCACCGTGGCTCTGGTGGATGGAGCAGTCGGCCCTTACCTGTGGTTGAAGGTCTGGAGGCCGATGGAGGCTGATGCAAAGACCACAGACTCACAGAAGCTGGAGGTGTGGCCCAGGCACAGAGCAAAGACGCTTGAGAGGCCAAGGCCCATGCCCTGTAGGAAAGCAGCACTGTGACGGGCAGGCACCCGGCCTGCCTGCAGCTGGGCCCTCTCCTGACTCAGCCGCCCGACAGCTGCCCTGGGCACACTGCACAAGGGTCAGGTCAGCTGGGACCGAAAACCTCTCCCGGACCAGGACCCCTAGAGGAGATCTGGGAGGAGGCTCCCCAAGAATCAGCCCCGCTCCACGGGAGAGGCCCTATTCGACGTGGGCAAGCCCAGGCCTGGGCCCAGAGGGGCACAGGATGCTGACCCCAGCCTGCCCCCCAACAGCTGTCTAAACAGCCCCCTCTGGACCCCGGGACTGGACACGTGGAGAGGCCTGGTGTTTGCCTGGTCCCAGACATCAGGTGACTTGGGGACACAAGCCTGTGGTCCTGGGAGACCCTGAACAAAGCAGGGATATCCAGAAAGAATGACTGGAATGATTCTCCTACCTGCATGAGCTTCCGCACCGTGATGGCTCTGTAACCTGCAGGGGAGGGACGGCTGTGTAACCTACAGGGGAGGGACGGCTGTGTAACCTACAGGGGAGGAGGCGGCTGTGTAACCTGCAGGAGAAGGGCGGCTGTGTAACCTGCAGGAGAGGCAGCCGTGTAACCTGCAGAAGGAGGGAGCGGCCGTCATAACCTGCAGGGGAGGGGCGACCGTGATAACCTACAGAGAGGGTGTAACCTGCAGGGGAGGGACGGCCGTGTAACCTACAGGGGAGGGACGGCCGTGTAACCTGCAGGGGAGGGACGGCCGTGTAACCTTCAGGGGAGGGACGGCTGTGTAACCTGCAGGGGGAGGCTGAGGAAGGGGCTCCCTTTAGGCCTTTCATGCTGACACCCCAGACAGTGCCCAGAGGGGTTCCATCTTGAACAGCTGCAGAGGGGCAGCAGGGGAGGAGGAGGCTTGGGGCTCAAGACAGCTATCCCGTGCTGTGGGCAAAAACGTGTGCACACACGTATGCGTGGCACAGCTATGAGGCACCGCCTGTGCCCTTGGAAGCTTCCCAAGGCGGGGTTCTGGGCAGAAACACAGAACAGCCACACAGCAGTGACAGAGGTGGAAACAGACGAGCGGCCCCACTTCCTCTGCTGCTCCAGATTTTCTAACTTTTCCACAACACGTGTGTATTCCTTTTGCAATTAGGAAAAACACGAATGTTCTAGGAATAGGCATACATGTGTGGAGAGAGCATGTGGGCACGCGTGTGCATCTGCCTGCGCCTGTCTGTGAGGGCACTGCACTAGGGGAAGAAACACGCAGCCCACTCGGGGCTCATCCCAGCGTGGGTCTGGAGCACATGGAACAAAGACAGAAGCTCTTCCAAAGGTTCTAGGATGTTTGCAACCTCTGACCCCACCAGGTGCCTTCCCAGAGGTTCAGGCGCTGCATCTGGCCCCCAGGGGCGAGCTCCACGGTCACCGTGAGACCAGACCCTCTCACCACAGTCTAACCCCACCCTTTAAGGAGGAGGCCGAGCCTGGAAAGAAGTGTCCCTCTGTCCCAGCTCTCCATGTGCTGAAGCTGCACCCCCAGGAGAGGAGCATCTTGCCCCTTGAAAGTGAGGTGAATCAGGGTGTGGCCCCCGGCCCCGGTCCCCGCCCCGGGGCTCACCCTGATTGATGAGATGATCAGAGAGAAACCCGCTGAAGAGACTGGCAGGAATCGCCACCAACCAAGGCACCACGTTGAAGATCCAACCCTGCAGGGGGGAGTGTGGCCTCAGAGGGGGCCAGGGCTAGCACCCGGCCATCTGGAAGAGGATACTCAGGCTGGACAGCCCCCCATGCCCACCACTGCCCAGGAAAGTTCTCCGCAGGGCCAGCCCTGCTCCTGGGAATGTGCAGCTCTGGAGTCTTGACCACCACCCGGGGGGGCAGCAAGACAACCTCAGAGAAGGAACCGTACTGACCGCAGGTGACCCCTCTGTCCACATCCCGGGTCCTGCACCGGCCTCCTCGGGCCCTGAAGTCGGGCTCTGCAGGCCAGCAGGTCACCGGTGAGGGCTGGGAGGGCTGCAGCCACAGCCGGAAGGCACCGAGCGCCCACATCGTTTCCAGCCTCAAACACAGAAACCTGCCCCGAGCATGGACTGGGTCCTCTCCAGAGGAAGAGCCTGGCGGTGCCAGGACCCTCGGAGTCCAGGAGGAGCTGAGGGTTCCACCATCTGCAGGCCAAGGACCCGCGGTGCCTGGTGCAGCTCAAGCCTCATGCCTTCTGGGCGCTCCTTCACCCTGCAGGAGCCCCCGACTCACCTTGGCGTCGGGGAAGGTCTCCTTGAAGAAGGTGGGCAACCAGGAGATGAGGACGAAGAAGGAGCAGGCTGCAGAGAGCTGGGAGATGACGGCTGCCCTGCGGGGCCCAATGGTGGACCATGACTCTGGTGCTGTGCAAGCTGGCCGGGCCTGTGGCACCCACCCCGAGAGGCCTCTCCTGGGGGCTAGAGTCCCACCTCTCTGAGCCCTAGGCCCTGCTGGCTCAGGGGCTGTCAGATCCAGCCAGGTTCACACCCCCATGGTCACCGGCCCTGCCACTGTTCCAAGGGGCGGTACAGGTCCCAGCTCACCAGACAGCAGGCTTCCGGAAGAGCCGTCTCCAGGGGACTCTGCTGTGCCTGGACACTGGCAGGCCTTGGGCCAGGACTCCCAAGGCCAGGATGAGATCTGAGAGAGCAATGGTTTCAAAATGATGGTTATCAGGGTGGGAAGCGCCGTCCGTTTCCAAAGGATTGGGGATTGGGGATTGGGGGTGGTTCCAGAGGGGTCAGCAGCCCTCGTCCACACCTCAGGCTGCACACGGGCGCCGGCCTCCCGCCCACACCTCAGGCTGCACACGGGCGCCGGCCTCCCGCCCACACCTCAGGCTGCACACGGGCGCCGGCCTCCCGCCCACACCTCAGGCTGCACACGGGCACCGGCCTCCCATGGCCTTCCCTACCAGGCACCTAACCGCGTTCTGAACGACCCTCCCCACAGCCTCCTCCAGAGCCCCCTCCTGGCCACCCAAAGACTCGGCTGCTCCTGCACCCTGCCTTGACCTGCCCAGCAGGTCTCCCTGGGTGTCTGCCTTAGCCCTAGATGGAACCTTCTAGACCGAATTAGGTGGCAGAGCCGCTGACAGCACAGCACCTGAGCACTTTGCCTCACTGGTGGATTCTTTGAGAGGTCAAGGCCGCTGTCTCCGGGCTCCTGCTCCAGGCTGCTCAGTGGCTGCCACCAAGGGAGGAGGCACTGGGCAGCCGTGGGTGCCCGGGACTAGCCCGCCCGGCCTGCGTTACCTTTTCCACTCAGCAGGTACCTGTACACGTACCACACCCAAAGCAAGGTGAGGCCGCCGGAGAAATAGAAGACGCTCTGCCAGCCGTACCATTCCAGGAGCAGGGAGCCCACTGCCCCGGTCAGCAGCGTCCTGCAAAGACAGGGGGAGCGTGGCCAGGCCCCTCAGCAGCACCCCTCGGGTGAGGAGGGGCCTCTCAGAAACCCCACCTTGGTGCAGGCTGAGCCCCTGGAAAAGAGGGTGTTTTCATGGCCTTCAGAGCGGCAGCTCAGAAGCCCCTGTCCCGGCCTGTTTGGTTAAGGACTCCGGACACTCGGGGCCAGTGGGGCCAGTCGGGCGGCTGCTGTGGAACTTATGTTGTTTTTCACATCTTGCTTCTAGGCCTTCACTTTGGCCTACACTTTGTCATGTGGATCCTTTTCAACTAAAAACGGCACCGAGGAGGAGACGGTGATGAGAGTATACTACAGTGAAACTCCACACGGTTTTTGTGCTTCAAATCTCATTGAGGATAAAATTCACAAAGATTTCTAGATGCAAAAATACCACGACGGCCAAATCCAACAGCCCCCATCCCCTGTCCCCGTGATCTCATTGTCCCAAATAGCTCCTCAGAGGCTCCTTCTGGGTGCAACCTGGCTGGCAGCCCAGCCCCCATCTGCTGCAGAGACCCCTCCGCTGGCACCTGCGGGAACAGTTAACATCATGGCAAAAGCAGGAAGAGAGAGACCCAAAGCCGGGCCTGGCATCCAGATGGGGCCTCCTTCCTCCCGCTGAGCCTCTGCGGGGTGGACACAGCTCCTGGGGCGGCAGAGTTTGGCCTTGGGCGCCAGGGCGGGCTGGGGTAGCACTCTTCCTGCCCCTTCCAGTCCACACTTGACCCTCTCTCTGTTCCCCACCTGCGTGCAGAAAAACCGCAGGACACCCAAAGAAACCAGGTTTTGGAGAAGTGAGGATTCATTCTTTTAGTAGAAGTATATCCCCTCTGGTTTATCTGAAATTCACATTCCTCTGGGCAGTCTGTTTTTATTTGATGAATCTGGTCACCCTGGGCCTGCCTGGGGCTGCTCCTGGCCCCACCTACAGGGGCCGCCTCCGCCCTCTGAACCTCAGCAACAGTAACATGAGGGCCCGAGCCCAGCGATTGGGAACCCCCTGTCAGCTCCTGCACCTATCCACCCTGCTACAACCATTGGGACGGTCTCCCACCCCAGGCCCGGCCTTGATCCAGGTTGCCAGCATCGCTAGAGGGTCTGGAGCTGCCCAAGGAGTGGGCACTGGGAAGGAGGACTGAGGGGCACAGGGTTACCACCTTGTGGATGAGGACAAGCCGCCCTCCAGCCAGCTGATAGCCCACCCCGGCCCAGACGCTCCAGGGCTCACAGACTCTCCTGTCGGGGGTGGGGGCCAGCAGAGGGTGGGGACGGCATCTGACTTCGTTAGCACAGATGAAAGAAAATGAGATGATATGGCCACTCCCCCAACCCCTGTCCCCAAGTCCCAGCCTCATCACCTGCCAGCCACTCCAGAAAGGCAGAAATATGCACAAAGCAAGCACGGTGCCCGGGGCTGGCACCTGCAGAGCACAGCCTTGGGCTACAGAGCCCAAAAGGCGCCTGCCGGACCCACCTCACCCATGGTGGCCCTGCAGGCCCATGTGGCCCATCCCCCACCCAGACCAGGGGCCACTTGGCAAGGGGCTCATCTGGTGGCCTCTCCTGGGCCCCATCTGAGGCCAGGACTTACCCAAACTGGGAGCCGGCGCCCACGGTGCTGTAGGTGAAGGCTCGCTCGCTGTCCCGCACCTTCTGCGACAGCAGGCTGGTCAGGGCGGGGAAGTAAACCCCTGCAACGAGCGGAGGGAGAGTCTCTCGGGGTCCAGCCAGGGAGGCTCATCCCGGCCCATCTGCTCAGGTCTGGGCTGTGATTCCAGAGGACGTCCACCTGTCCCTCTCGCTCACCTCGCCCACCCGAGGGACCAGCAGGGCAGGGTTTTTTGTGCCACTGAGGAAACAGACTCCTTTTGGGCGAGGCTCGCTCAGGGTCGTGCCACCCGCATAGCTGCGGGAAACACCCCTGCTTCGAAGCCAGCCCTCCCACCCCACGCACACGCACACGCACATGTGCACACTCTCACCGCCGGCCTCCAGCTGTGCTCTACAGAGTCCTGGCACCAACACACACACACACGCAGCATGAGCACACACACCTGCACACGCACGGGTCCACCGGCACACCACTTCTCGGCAGTGCTGCACGGTGCTCACACTGACGCAGGTACACGCATACGCACGAAGATACACACCTGCAGGCACGGAAACCTGCCGCACGCGTGCACAGACACGTACTTCCCCCAGGAAACCTGCCTTTTCCTGTTGTAGTAACTGAGCTTCCTTCCAGGATTTCTTTTGGACCAAGTGTTCTCGGCCGCTTTAGAAGTTTGGAAACCACCTCACCACCCCATGCGGCCCCACAGCCAGAGGGCCCTGAGCCTGGCGCTGTGAGGGGAGGCACCACGGAGCCACCGTGACAACAGAAACTTGTCCCCCAAACCCACGGGCCCTGTCTACAAGGCGCTGATGCTACCCTGCGGGAGGGCATCGTCAAACAGACGGCCACACACAGGAAGCGCCTGCCTGGCTAGTGCCTGTAACTTTTAATGGCAGAGCGCTCACTCACAGGCTCACGGCTCAGAGGCAGGGCCCATCCCTCACTCCATCAAGGGAGGCTGGGGGCCGCCTGGCAGGGCTCCGTGGGGTTTCCTCCCGAAGTCCGATACCCCACAGCAAGAGCCACAAGTCTTGGGACACCCGGCGTCTCTACTCTGCCCGAGGACAGCGTGCACAAACACGGCAAAGCCAGCCGCAGGTGGTGCCCATGGTTACCACGTGGCCGCCATTGCTGCCCCCCAGACCACCAGAGTAGGCTTGTGGGCACAGGATGACATCTGACATTGAGACGTGCCAGACTTTGAAGGTTTCTAGAAAACGGAATGTACCACAGGTGCCAAGTCATCATAGCACAACAAGCTGGCCCCCACAGAGGAAGCGCAGCTGGAGCTGGCAGCGAGCCCACGGGGTCTGGCTGCCTGCTGGGTCCCCAGAGCTGCCCACGAGGACAGCTGCCTGCCCCAGGGCCGAGGGTCTTCTCAGTGACACCTAGGAGGCATTGGTCAGCCCAGTCTGAGGCAGTGCCACTGTTTTCTTCACAGCTTCAGCCTTGGGACCCTCCTCCCTCACCCCGAAGACCCTCCAGTAAACAAAGATGAGGGCCCCCGCCCCCCGACAGGCCTGTCCTCCCCTCCAGGTGGTTGCGATTTGTTCGTTCCTCCCCTCCTCCTCCAGCTCCTGCAGTGGGACCCGGGCAGTGCCTGGGGAGGTGGTGATGCTGGAGGGGCTGGCTCTGGGATGGGGTCTCACAGTAAACACACAATCCTAAGTCCTCAGTCGCACTCACTGCACCCTCTTCTGAGGGTGGGCCATGCACAGGGCCCAGTGGGCACTGGTGGTATGGCCCTTGTTCTCACGTGAGACCCTGTGACCATGACAGTGGCCTCTCCTGGGCAGACCCCCTTCCTCTGTTACGGAGAGAGTCCCAGGCAGCACCTTCCAGGCGTCGCCTTGGGGAGTGAGGGTGTGGAGAGGGAGGAGAAAGAGACCTGGGAGTGAACTCCCCAAAGTCTCTGGACTTGGGGGAGAGGGAGGGCAGAGGTTCTAGGGGAGCCATGGCCAGGGATCTGAACCTGATGCCAGCTCAGGAAGGTAGGGGGAGTCCTCAGTGGGGAGTCTGGATGGCCCAGGACACTGGGGGAGGAGTAGCCCAGCCGGGAACTGCCAGTGGGTGGGGCAGCCAGGCAGGCTGGGGTGGGGCGGGCAGGTCCCTGCAGGCTGGAGGCCTAGCTGTTTCTCCAGGGGACTTCAGACAAGTAGGGGCCCCCCAAAGCCCCCTTGGCCCCCCACCCACCTTGTTCTCCTGACAATTAAGGCGCTCCAAGGCCCTAGTATTGGAGGCATCATCAGCATACATGTGACCGAAATTCACAAACCCAGAGTCCCACAGCAGCTGGAATCCGCCACTGAACTAAGGTGTATGGTAACAAAATTCAGGGGCAGGAGCAAGTTCACTACGCAGGTGTCCCCTGTGATCCTGTGTGTCACTGCAGAGTGTGCACTTACAGAAGACACATGCATGGCCACACGTACACCTGCATATGGGCACGCTCACGCACGTAGACACGCATATGGGCATGCATATGCACATACACATGGATACGGGCACGCACACACACGCATACAGGCATGCACACCACCTGCACACACACATGCACACTCACACGTGTGCATGCACACATATGTACACATATGCACAAGCACACACATACGTGCACACTGCTTGCACACGTGTCTGCAGGAACATACGCACTTGCACACGCACACACACTGGTGTACACATGCACGCAGGCATACCCATACACACACACTTGTACACCACCTGCATGCACACGTGTACCTGCACACACATCCGTGCACACTCCCCTTGTCTCCCCACCTGGTGCCAGAGAGCGTGAGGGAAGTGCCTGAGCGCCCCTTACCTTGGAGTAAGCCCATGAGGATTCGTGAGAAGGTCATGAAGGCCAGGTGGGCACTGCTCAGCTGAGCGAGCAGCGGGGTGACGGCCGTGATGGAGCCCCAGGCAGAGGCTGACAGCAGGATGACCTTCTCACCCCCAATCCTGGAGGGGAGACAAAAGGCGGTGAGGATGTGGATGCGCAGGACCAAGGAGCACCACCCTGACTCAGGGCCGCCCTCGAGTGGGTGCTCGGAGATGGGCCTGGCCTGTCTGCCTCTACAGGGCCTGCTTATGACCCCAGAGCTGCCTCGTGAGGAGACCAGGTACTCCAGGGGAGCCGCCTGCCTCTTCTGCCTGCAGGGCCCTGGGGCCTTGCCACACCTGGCCTCTCCCCTTCCAGCTCCCATCTTCCTCCGGGTGTGTCTTCTGCCCAAATTTATCTACCAAGCTCCTTCCCCAGGAGTTGCATCCTCTGTGTGCACCAGCACAGCCAGCCCACTGGCCTCTGGAGGCCCCAGGGGAGCAGCCCCCACCAGCCTGGAGACGGGGAAAGGGGCAGTTACCGGTCCCCGAGGTGGCCGCCCACAACCTGCGTCAGGCAGTAGCCCCAAAAGAAGCTGCTGAGTACGATGCCGGCCTCCTTCTTGTTCCAGCCGAAGTCCTGGCTCATGGAGACAGTGCAGATGGGCATGCTGGAGCGGGCGCAGTACAGCAGGCACGTGCCCAGCAGCAGCGTCCCTGTCCATGCCTGGCACTCGGGCCTGAGGGAGAGGAGATGGTCAGGCCCTGGGGAGGCCCCACAGCCCTGCTGCTTCGAGTTCATCACTCAGAGACCTCCCCCCAAGCTGGGGGATGTGGGACTGAATGGGGACAGCTTCGATGGAAGGCAACTTGGCAGGCATTCAAATGCCTAATCACACCTGTATGCTGACCCCTGGGAGGACACAGGCAGCCAGAAATGAGGCACAGTGACGGCTGGGAACAGCCGAGTGGCCAGCACTCAGGCAGGTCACAGCAACAACTCATCCCCACAAAAGGTCCTGGGCTGGGCTCTGCTTATTCCCCATGATGGGCAACCAGGCCACCAGGCCCCCAAAGCCAAGGACCAGCAGCACGTGGTACCACATTCTCAAGCCTTCCTCGGCCCAGGCAAGCAGCAGACAGGCACCAGGCAGGAATGATGGCTGAGAGCCCACTGACTGTGGGGGTGGGGTGTGGTGGGTAAGGGGCCCCCAGAGCGGCAGGGCTGAGGCAGTACAGGAGGTCCTAGATGAGAACCTCAAGGCAGCTGGGGCTGGGTGGCCAGGAGAGGACACAGTGCCAGGGGGACAGTTGGCCCCTTGAAGGAAGCTGGGCAGGGGTGAGGCCTTCCCAGCCAGGGCCTCCGATTTCTGCACATGGCTCCTGGCTCCTGTGCAAATGAGGCTCCTTGGCTGCTGTTGTCCCTGATTAAAGAGAGTTATAGGGAAGCTCCATCCCTGGGTCCTGTGGCTGAGCCAAAGGCACCTGTTGGGGGTGAGCTGGGAGGCTGCTGGGGTGTGCAGATGTGTGAGGAGAGGTGCACGGGCTGCAGGGCCATGGGGGTCAGCAGGACTCAGAGCCACACACAGGGCTGGACATGGACAGTCCGCTAGATACTCAGACTTCTCTCTGTGCCCTGAGATGGATGGGGGCACTGAGTGGGGCCCCAGATGGGGAGGTCGCCTGGGGGAGCGCGGTTTGGAACTTGCTGAGTCAGATGCTGGAGAGGGGGCTTGGGCAGGGTCAGCACTGGATCAGCAGTGACTCTCACAGAGGAGGGAAGGGCCTGGGAGGCAGGATTCCCCATCCCTGCCTCGAGCTGGGGGAGGGGAATTAGAGGATTTCCCACTGGCCACTTCCGATTTTTGTGAAGCAGGTAAGGATGGCCCCCTGAGAGCACAGGCTGTCAGGAGGGCAACAAGGACAAACAGCCACTTCGAGGTAGGGGTAGGGGCCAGGTCCCGATGGCACGCTGGGTGCTGGTCACCCCTGGGAGGCCGGGTCTGCACAGTGGGGAGGGGAAGCTGATGCCAGGGTCCAGCCAGGGCTCCAAGCCTGGGGCCTGAGTCTTGGCCAGCGAACCAAAGGGGTTCGAGGTATTAGTGCTGGGAGTCTTGACGAAGGGCAGGACTGAGGACCGGCAGGCCAAGGAGAGGAGAAGGTCAAGGGTGAGGGCCAGGGTGCCATATGGACAGCCCCTGTGGACTTCAAAGTCACCCAAGAGAATGGCAGGAGTCAGCCGAGGAGGCGTAGCCAGGAGCCAAGAGCCAGCATCGCCAGGGATAGGGGGACATCCAGGAGGAGGAGGCCGCATGGGCCTCAAAGAGAACAGGGAGAGGGTGACCAGCAGACGAGTCGGACACTGGAGAGTCTCACCCCACCCTTCCCAAAAGGTCCTGTCTGCCCGTGCGGGGAGCCGGCTGCACTCGGGGGATGTGCTCCCAAGAACCTGCCAGAGTGGACGAGGGTGTGCCGTGGAGAGAGGGGCAGGTATCTGGCCTTCCTGGCGCTCTCTGAAAGTCTGTGCCTGGACGCTTCCCACAGCAGAAAAGACCACCAAGTCAGGCACCTGGCAGTCTTGACCATGAGCTTGACCTTGACCATGCCTGAGGTCAGAGCCAGGCCGGCCAGCTCACACTCCCAGTCCTGGTGAGGGAGGCCCAGTGAGATCTTAGAGGCAAGAACAGCTCGCTCCAACACCTCCCGCTCTGCCAGAGGCTGTCCTGCTCCAGCCCCTCCCCACATCAGGGCCAACCATTAACCCCTGAAGTCTGGAGAAAGTCGTGTGGGAGGAAGTCCTGGAACTTGGCTGTGAGTGTGGTTTCGCCAGCATCATTTGCAGCCAGCTTCCACTCTGGGGACAACTGGCTTGCCCCATATCTGGCTGTGGCCTGGGTCTGGGGACCAGGTCTGCTCCCTGGGTTACCACAGAAGGACACAGTCCTCACTGCCAGCCCGCCTAACCCAGTACAGCCCTGGCCTCCACGCCCTGCCCTGGCGTGGTTGATACCCGCAGCCCTGTTATTTATCTGGCCCCAGGCTCTCTGTAAACAGTTTTCATTGACTTAACGCAGGAGGCTTGCAGAAGGGACATGGGGGCCCCACCATTAACTTTCCACTAAAAGTCACACAGTCCAAAGGTGCCTTTAAAAAGGAGCTTTAGGGACAGGTACGGTGGCTTATGCCTGTAATCCCAGCACTTTGGGAGGCGGAGGTGGGCAGATCACTCGAGCTCAAGAGTTCAAGACCAGCCTGGGAAACATAGGGAGGTCCCCGCCTCCACATAAAGAAAAACACAACTTTAAAAATTAGCCAGGGCTGGGCATGGTGGCTCACATCTGTAATCCCAGCACTTGGGGAGGCTGAGGAGGGTGGATCACGAGGTCAGGAGTTCAAGACCAGCCTGGGAAACATAGGGAGGTTCCCGGCTCCACAAAAAGAAAAACACAACTTTAAAAATTAGCCAGGGCCGGGCATGGTGGCTCACATCTGTAATCCCAGCACTTGGGGAGCCTGAGGAGGGTGGATCACAAGGTCAGGAGTTCAAGACCAGCCTGGACCACATGGTGAAACTCTGTCTCTACTAAAAATACAAAAATTAGCCAGGCGTGGTGGCAGGTGCCTGTAATCCCAGCTACTCCGGAGGCTGAGGCAGGAGAATCACTTGAACCTGGGAGGCAGAGGTTGCAGTGAGCCGAGATCAAACCACTGAACTTCAGCCTGGGCGATAGAGTGAGACTCCATCTAGTGAGACTCCATCTCAAAAAAACAAAAACAAAAAAAACGAAACAAAACAAACAAAAAAACAATTAGCTGAGTGGCTGAGTGTGGTGGTGTGCACCTGTGGCCCCAGCTGGGAGGCTGAAGTAGGAGGATCACGTGAGCCCAGGAGGTCAAGGTTGCAGTGAGCCAAGACTGCACCATTGCCCTCCAGCCTGGGTGACAGAGATTCCGTCTTGAAAAAAAAAGTGTGTGTGGGGGGAAGGTGAGGGACCTGTGTCCAGGTGGTACCTGCCCCGCACTGTCTGGCTGTTAGCTAGAAATGGCAGAAAGCTCAGTGGCACTGATTCTCACCCCCATCGAGGCCAGCACAGTGCTGAGAACACAGAGCCACTCCCTGGCCTCCTTGGAAGGAGGAAGTCAAGAACAGCCCTTCCAGGCAAGCAATCTGCCCTATGCTGCAGGCGGCAGCCACAGCCCCTTCTCTGAGCTGGGCAGGTGGTGCTGGCCGGGGGGGCACAAGGGCACCCTCCACAGCCGCTGGGAAGACAAGGATGTCAGGCTGGAGAGGTTGACCCATACAGTCAGCTGCCTGAGGGCTCACTAGGACCTCAAGCCAGGAATCCTCCATCCTGCTGGGGGCGCGGGAGGCGGGGGGTGCCAAGAACCGGAAAGCTTTGGGCAGCCTGAACAGCTTCCTCCCACCACTCTGCACTCCCTGAGCCCAGCAGGCTGCTTCCTGTGAACTTTCTAGAGCAAATGGCCCCTGTGCAGAAGCAGCATCCACGGCTGAGCAAACAGGTGGTCACATGGCCCCTGATTCAGAAAAGGGAACTGTGCCGGGGCCAGGCCAGGAGAGCAGCAAGCTGGAGAGGACACTCGAGTGTGGGTGCCACCTCTCCAGCTCTGTTCTCGCCTGGCCCAGCCTCCGTGATGTGGCTGCAGGAGAGAGGGCTAGGGAAAAGGCATGGGCGTGGCAGCCTTGACCCACAGGCCCCTCCAGAATCCTTGGCGCTACCCAATAAGGGCCTGCAAAGGAAGTTGCCAGAGCTGTGGCAAGGGCTCTTTTTGAAACATCGAGCCCTGGAGGGACGCAGTGAAGGCGGAGCCACTCAAACCACCAGTGAGGAGGCCCCGAAGCCCCGGGGAGCTGGCCCTGCCTGGCAGGCCTGGATGAATGTGGGTGGGGGAGGAGGAAGAGAGCAAGGGGCAGGCCCTCCCCTCTAACTGTCGCCTGGCAGGGAGACTCTCGGGCTGTGATCTGGGCTGCCAGCTTTTCCCACGCAGCCAGCACTCCCTTCATCTGGGTGCCAACGTCCGATGGTGGCACTGCCCCTTTAGGCCTTCCTGCAACTCTCCCCAGCACTTCCAGGGTCCTCAGCCCTCATAGAGCTGGGAACTGGTGAGGCCAGAAGGTGCCATTACCTTGCCATGGTCAGGGTAGGTACTCTGGGGACTCAGTTCAGGAGTCTGCTCTGGAACCCACAGGGCCTGAGTCTAGGCCCAGGGTCCAGCCACTTGAGGGCTCAGCCCAAGACCCAGAGCAAGGGGGTTCAGCAGTGTGGGGGCTGCTCTCAGGAGCCCTGGCAGAGGCCCTCCCCAGCTGGCCAATGGCCCGAGGTCACCATCTCACCCGGTTTCTGAGGCATCACCTGCCCAGGGAGCCTCATACAGGCAGCAGTGGCCAGGCCACCTGCCCAGGCCCTGCTTTTCCCCACCACCAAATGCTCTGAGCGCTGACGTGAGCGGGGAGCTCGTCCCCAGCACACAGCTGGCACATGGTGGCAGGACCCCCGTCCAGCTGCAGGCTCCAGCTCGTGCCCCATACCCAGCCTCCTGACTGTCTCAGCACCTGCCTGTCGGGGTCATGCACACACAGGGTGGTCCCACCTGGCGGGGGCTATGCCTCCTGACCATCCAGGACAATGCCCCTGGCCTGGGGAACACAGCCCTGCCTGGAAGAGCCCCAGGAACACTGGCTGCGATAGGGCACTTGCCAGGTCCGGTCCTGGAATCTGATGGCAGGGAGGAAGGACACGGCACTCACTTCCTTCCACCCCCCAAAAGGAACACAGGAAGCCCCGAAGCCAGAGGAGCCTGCCCAGCTCAGCGCTCCCTGCCTAGCATAGTCCTACCCAGCAGCATCTCAGCTCCCTCCTCACAGCCCCACCCCGACTGCTCCCCCCTCTCCCCCGCTCCCCTCACCCCCGCCACACCTGGACCACTGGCTGTCCCCGGCCCTGTCCCTCTGGGCCTCGTCTGGGGTTGGCTGCATCGGGCTTGGGGTGCTCAGACGGTGTGGGCACAGCTGTGTCCCGGGGCCGCCTCCCAGCCCCGGCCGACCCACCCGGGCAGCACCGCCCAAGTCCACGTGTCAGTCCCAGCGGCGCTTCCGTCCGGTTCTCCCAGGACTCATCGCCCCCAGACGGCCACCAGGGCGGGCAGGCGGGGCAGGGCGGGGCATACCACTCGGGCGCCCGCCCCACCCTGCTGACGTCCCTCCCTACTGCCCCATAGGAGCGGGGCCGACGGTCGCCCTGGCTGGTCTGAGGCACCCTGGCTCAGCCCCAGCTGAAGTTAGTGTCGGAGCAGGGGGAGGTTCCCAGCAGCAGGCCGCTCAGACTGGGGCTTCAGAGAAGGGCCCTGGTGGTGAGCCTGGTCCCAGAGGTGCCAGCCTATCCTTTGGACACCACAGGGAGCCACGGGGCCATCTATCCTCTGTCTATAAAATAGGTGGTGATGGCAGTCCCTACCTCACCGATCAAATAAAATTAGGGATAAAGTCTTTTTTTTTGTTTTTGTTTTTTTTTTGAGATGGAGTCTTGTTCTGTGGCCCAGGCTGGAGTGCAGTGGTGCAATCCTGGCTCACTGCAAGCTCCGCCTCCCGGGTTCACCCCGTTCTCCTGCCTCAGCCTCCTGAGTAGCTGGGACCACAGGCGCCGCCACCGCGCCTGGCTAATTTTTCTGTATTTTTAGTAGAGACGGGGTTTCACCATGTTAGCCAGGATGGTCTCGATCTCCTGACCTCGTGATCCGCCCGCCTCGGCCTCCCAAAGTGCTGGGATTACAGGTGTGAGCCACCGCCCCCGGCCAGGGATAAAGTCTTAACCAAGTGTAAAGAGAGTAAAAGTCCAGGGTGACTGACTTTTAAAATGGATCTCTTGGGGCAGGGATGGGTCCACTCCTGAGCTCTTGGACCAAGCCTGGGAGAGCTGGGCAAATCCAGCGCTGCCCAGTGTCTTCTCAGCAGATGCCTGTGAAGGTTGTCATTGGCCCCTGGGATCCTGGAGAAAAGGTGCCCTGAGCGCCCATCACAGGCCAGGCTCTGGGCTCAGGGGCAGGGGTGATGGGGTGGGGCCCCCACGCTGCATGCTCCTGCTGCTGTGCCGAGGACGAAGCCGGCAGGGGAAGGCCTCGACCCTGTAGCCTTTCCCCAGGAGGCAGCAGGGCCTGTTCCTCAGGCGTCACCCCCACCTCCACTACGGCCCACCTCAGTCCATCCTCCACGCAGCAGCCACCACCCAGAGGCCGAGGAAGACACACCTAAGGTGGGGCCCTGCACTTACAACAGGGCTCCTTCCCCCCACCCCCCAGCCCTCTGGTCTCCAACAGCCCAACCAACTGCACTGAAGAGCCTGCTCCCAGAGCCTAGTGCCGAACAGATCTTAAAGACACAAGTGCCTTAAAAAGCAAGGCCATGCTTTCATCCATCCTGATGTAGGGTAGGGTGAAAAGATGGTGGCAGAGAGAGGTTTATCACCCCGAACAGCCCTAGCCCACAGCCAGAAAGTTTGGAAACTGTTGCTGAACGTATCACTGTCAACAGCATCCTCTTTGCGGTGATTTGCTTCCATTCACTCTGTGATGGTGATTTCCTACCAAGACTTGTGATCACGCTGCAGCAGACATCTGCCATCTGGTTACCCAAAGTCCCTTTCCTCCTGGAGCTGATGTTCTGGGGCAGGTAGACAAAAATCAAAGAAGTGAAAGGGGTAGGGAAGGGGTGTTACTTCAAGTAGGTTGGGCTAAGGAGACACCCCTGGACACCTGAGTGAAGGCTGGATGAGCTGAAGGAATGGGCCGTGCAGGGACGGGTGGGTGGGCGAAGGGTCCATCTCACAGGGACGTTATAAAGTTGGGTGTTGGTGGTGGCCAGATGGAGGCTCTCCAGGCTTCTGGTTGATTCTGAGAGCTGCCCCGCACCCAAGCACCTTTGAGGCCTAAGGTGAAAAATTATGTACGGACAATAGACAGTCAACACCTGCGTTTTGAAGGACAGTGGGTGACCTTGTGGACAGGGCAGTCACAGCCAGCACCCACTGGCCTCTGCTTCTGGAGGGCTGCGTTCCTCCCTCTCGTTGGTCTGGCCCACCTAACTTCCACTTGTTTATTCAAGTGCTGCTAAGGGGAGCCAATGCTAGAGTTTTTTTTTTAAAGCAAATTTATGCTTCACTACACGCGTGGCTCCCGTTTTTCGGCCTCTGCCTACACTCACCCCTGCAGAGGCCCCAGGAGAGCCCAGCACAGCCTTCTGTAAACCAAGACAAGCCAGCCCTGGGTCTGGGGCTCCTCCCTGCACCCCACTTAGCCCTGCACCCTTCCAGCCCAACTACAATTCTCAAGACAAGGAGTCTGTAAAAAGGAGACTGACAGATGACACTTTCCTCCGCCATGACTGACAGGCAGCAGCAAGAGGGGAGAACGCGGCACCGGACATCACACGCAGGAACTGCCTCAAAAGTAGGGGCACCTTTCGGGCTGAGTTAATACTGTCAACAGCAGACTGGAATAAGACAAGGAACTGTGTGCTCGAAACCAGAAGATGGTGCTCGAAAACAGAAAGATGAATTCTGTGATGACGATAAATGGACTCAGTGCAATGTGGGTGCTATACAGAGAATCATTCCTCAAGGTTCTGGAGCAGTTCATTTTTTTCAGCGCCGTAAACTCATTGCTCGAATCTTACAAGCACTAGTGTTCAACATTTCTAAAACTGGAGGGCCCAGTGAGGACTGGATGGGCACACAAATCTATAAACGAGCAGGGACGAACCCTGGGCTGCTGTGACCGCCAGCACCTCTTCCCGATCCTCCAAGACCCTCTGTGGCAGAGAATCCTTGGTGACGGGTCAGCCTGCTTCACTTTCAAAGCCAGCTGGGAAAATTATCAAAGCTGTCAGTCACACACCGTGATCCACAAGAGGGAGAAAAGCTCGTCTGTGTGAGGAACGCCTGCGGATGTGTCTCCAGGAAGCAGAAGTCACAGCCAGGCAGAGACCTTGCCTGACAGGGGCAGCTCAAGGCAACAGCAACTCCACCACTTCTCCCTGGTTCCCAAGCTCATCAATTCCATCTCAAATACACAGAGACCCACACAGGAGGTACTGCTGCACCCAGCACTCTTCATCTCCAAAGTGAGCCTGTGGGGTGAGCAACTGCCTTGTTTGGGTGGACAGCCGGTGGAAGAGCCTGCAACGTGACCTGCATTTAAAAACGTGGGAAAGCCTGTGGAGGAAACCCACTCACCTTTGGTTGTTACTCCTTTTGTGAATTCTTTTGGTTATAGCTGTGCGTATGGGTCTACGGGCTTCACCAGACAAATGGTCTTCTGTACTACGGACAATATGGGCCCGTAAACCTGGCCTTCCAACTAGGCGACACTGAAATGTTGCAGGCAAATCAGAACGTCACTTCCCTTTAAATATTCCCCACACACATGCACCAGGCTGACTGGTGGATACCGGGGTGTGAAATGAGAGAAACAGCCCCCAACGCACAGACTCGGGGACATGATTATCACCAATTAACCACAGGCTGCACTTCAGCTCCTGCGCACCAGGTGCCTCGTGCCGGTGGCTCTGTAGCACTGGCCTGTTTCTCTCCAAAGCCATTCTGTGGCTTCTGAAAAAGGCAAACAAGCTCAGGACATTGTACCTCCAAGGAGCACATCTCTTAGAAGATTCTTGCCATAGCTAGTTACACCAAAGGCCCATTCAAACCCCATGTTCTACTTTTACAGAAGTGAAAAATTACAGGCAAGGATGGCATTCCAAAATAAGGCAGAATATCCAAGACAGGAAGGTCACGTGTGCAAGGATGGTGTGAGCCTCCAGACTGTAGTGTGGCAGCTCACACTAAAGCATTCCTGGTGACGCCCACCTCCACCAAGAACTACCGTGCTGCCTTCTGACCCGTGAGGCTAACGGACTGGCAGAACACTGTGACATGCCACTGCCACGCAGGGAGGAGCAGCAGGTGAGGAGAGGCCTTCCCTGTTCTCTGATACCCAACAAACATCCAAGTGCTTGGCACCTCGCTCCATGATGCCCACTGCTCAGCTTCTGTGCACAGGCAGTTTCTGAATTTCACCTCAGGCCCTTGAAGTGGTCTGCCTGAGTCCTTTCCAAGAACCCTAAAACTGCCTTCCACTCATGAAAGCGCTCATGGACCTGAAAGCATGGTAGCCACCCAGGATCAGACACCTGTGGTTATCTCCTGCCTGGGGCTCAGGCAGGCGGTGGTAGGTGTCAGGCTGACTGGTGGATACTGGGGTGTGCTGGCATATTCCCTCTGTTTTTAATATGCTTGGAAATTTTAATTAAGCAAGAAAAAAAAGAATAATTACTTAGGCTATTCAAATCCGTTTAAAATCATGCAATGGGTAGCTCAAAAGTTCTATTTCCTTCACATCAAGGAAACTAGTTTATGAAACATTAAGTGCCCCAGTCTAGATAGCAGCTGATAGGTTTCAAATTAAACACACACAAGTACAGATTCACAAACTAAAAGGCGTGGCACTGTCAGAGCGGGAGGAGAGCCAACTACAGTTCCATGAGGCGAGCTTTCTTCTGTCCTTCCATTCCAAGATACCAACTTTCAATACAAATGCATTAGTATTTGTTATTAAAATATCCTTAGGAAAAAAGAGAGCTTCCAGATAACAGTTCTGAGAAAAATGTGAAAACTTTTACTGTTACATTAAGAACAGGCAGTAGAAGCAACCTATTCTGCACTTCTCAGAAGATACTGGGGGGCACATATGCCACGCTGGAATAAGGAATACAGAATCAAACATGTACAAAGGTACCACAGCAGGTTATGGTTCATACAGGACTTTAAATGACCAATGTTGACAATACAATTTGCAAAAAATATGAGAAAAGCAATACATATTTCTGAAACAAAAACACACCTGTTATAAAAAATAACACGCATAGTATCAGAATAGAACAGTCAACAGAGCAGCAGTTACTGAAGACAGATGGCAACAGGCAGCTGCACCAGCCATGGGTCTGCTGTGCATCCACACCCGTGAGGCCCTATTGTGAACAACGCAACGTTCTCCATCAGCGGGGAAGCACACGGACCGCTTGGCCACCATGCTTTCCGCCCGGTCTGTTCACACTCAGATTTAGCAGTAATAGCCCAGAAGGGAATGCAGCTCCACGCTCCCTAAGACATCGATGTCTTCAACACATGTGTAAGATTCTTTCTGGAGCCCCTAGCTCCTCCACTCTTCCAAACTAACAACATACAGAAATAGAAATAAGAAAGCAAAGACATCACATTGCCTTAGAAAAGCTGTCCTCAACTCATCTTCTCTACATGTTTTCAGATCATGTCCTGATGGAATGGAAAGAGCAGCTCCGCCTCCCCGAGGCTTCCGGGGACTCCTCACACACACGACCACCAGTCTTCAGTCACACACCATGGAGACTTTGGTCCCAACCAGTGTCTGCCTTTTCTAGAAACTGGAGACCCTGATTCAAATGGCAAGATTTGTTAGTTCCCATGTGCCTTGCAATAACCCTATGCTTCACAAAGATTCCAGACTAGGGGTTATTCCTCACCCAACTTCATGCATCAGGAACACAGAGTACCAGAATATTCTCACATTTTATTTCAAGGCACTCTCCACCAGAAAGTAGGAAAAGAATAAACTACTCTGTAAAATGTGACTACATTTTTATAAACCCAACAGTGAGATCCAAAATGAGACAAAGTAGAATTATACTGAATGCTCACTATCCCAAAGTGGCTTAATTTCATTTCCTTGCTGCAAATACAAAGACTGTAAAAAGGAGCAGAGAGAGAAAGCGTGCAAAGCACTTCCTTGGAAGATCTCCAGTCCACTAACAGATCGCGAGAAAATCAGGTGTGGCCCCTCACAGAAGGGACAGCAGGCAGTCACTTCGCAGACTTCCCAGTCTCCCCGACGGCTGCTCGCGCTGGGTGCTGGCACCGGCGTATCAGTGACCCACTGGCTGAACTGGCAATCAACACCAGCACTTCACGTGACAGCCAGAGTGACAGTCCAGGCATGTGATGACCCCACTCGTGTCCCCCAGTTTGTAGAGAGACTTCCCATTGCTGTGCTTCTCACACCCTCTAGTTTTAAGAATATGTCAAATTGATTATATATTATGCAAGTAAATTATCTTATATACATGAATAGTAAAAGGTAATTAGGAATATGCTGAATCATCTGCTGTTATTGAAGAAAACGTGCAGATGTATCACTCTCACCTAACAGTTTTCTTCTAGCTTCCGCTATATTTCATCACCTATTAGTTACTCTCTTTCTCTCCAACTTATCTTCATCCTCAAACCTCAGAGGAAATAATTGCAAAGGTCACATCTGGGAGAGCGGTAGTTGGAAGGCAGCATTTCTAGGGGGCAGGGAAGCACCACCTCCCCAGTACTGCATCCTCACAAAATCCAAAGGGCAGCCAATGAGTCAGTCTGGAGGCCACCAAGTTTCTGTAACGACTGCAGCAATTTTACCTTTGCATCTCTTACTGGACTACACAAGCCATCTAGGTAAAAGTAAATACTGCCAAAAGCTCCTACCTACTGGAAAGAGAAGTAGAGGGCTTGAAAACACAACTTCGGCAGGCTTCAACGGAGAAGGAAGCATCATTTAGAGATGAGAACAATGCTATGGACACCTCGTGATCAACACTCAAGGGATGCAGGAGCTCAGTGAGGATGGTTCCTCAGAGGCAGATGACCTGACCGGCTCAGGCACTGGCGAGCTGGCTACCACACCCAGACTGTGCTTGTCAAGATGCCTTGCTCCTTGAAAATAAGGCAAGATCCCAGATTCAAGTGCTAGCAGCATTTCGCCCCTCAGATGCACCTGCAGGCTCCACTGGCTCCAAAGGACGCCCTTAGATGGGTCAGCAATTCCATGAACATCCACAAAACCAACACTTAGCACTGCTCAGTGGGGTCAACAGTGCCCGTGGTCCGCTGCAACGAATCCAAACACATCTGCGCCCAGAGTTACATGGCCATGTGCCCATCAACTGTCCCGACTCGCAGGCAATGCACACAGCCCTGCACCACTTCCCTCCTGCCCACCACGGAGCAGGGGACAGTTCTGTGAGTGAACAGAAGCAGGACATCCACAGAGCCGGCTGACAATGGAAGATGAGATGCTGCCGAGATGCTGAAGGGCAGATCACTGAGGCTGAACACGTGTTCCTTCTGCCAAGAGTCGCACACCACGAGCTGGGGCCCTGCGTCCCCACTGCCCAAGGGCTGCCTCATTCTAATGAAGGCTGCTCACTCAGCACAGGGCCAAGTGGCCTTTCTAGCTGCAGGTACCAGAAAAAGCCACTGCCACTAACACGGGGGAAGAATGCCCCAAAGACAAAAGGTCATTTGAGATGATTAACACCTTTTAGAGGCCATTTTGGTCATTCTTGAAATCAAAGAGAAACCTTTATTTTCAACAAAACTGCCCAGAAGAGATGGTTCATTGATCCACTATGAACAAGTCTCTCACCATACACAGCACCAAAATATATATTTAAAAAATTAAAAAACACATAGCCCCTTACACGCATCTCCCAAAAGCCACACAACCCAGACCAAAGGGAAAACAAATCAGACTCAATGCCCTCACACACACGCCGTCTTTGAATTAGGATTTACAAATTTATATATTCTTTCCTATGGAAGAAAAAAAAACACACACAAAACCACTGGGGTAAGGAAAAACTTGTAGGTGAAGGCCCAATGTCTGCCTAAGCTAACAGAAAGCAGAATCATGATTCGTGCTTTTCCTGTATTTTGAGTGGGATGCAGCCTAACAGCACAGCCCTCCGTGGCCAACCAAATCCTTCAGCAGTCAGAGGCCCCCGGAACACTGGAAGGGCAAACCGCAGCCTTCCAGATTCTTCAGCGAGTGCCAGAGTGCAGGCTCTGCATCAGACTGCCAAAGAGACGGCAGCTTTCCTTGCAAGTTTTCCACTGCCTACAAAGGCCATTTTTCCCTATAAAAAAGATGCCAGGTCAAAAAAAAGTACAAGGGAGAAAAAGAGTTCTCTACTGCAGTGAGAATCTTGCAGTCGCAGGCTGATCTGAGGCAAGTCCCACGACGCAGGGGTGGTGCTGGGTCCACCACACAAGCGCAGGCGTTACTTGGGTTCCTCGATCACGCCCTTGCTGAGGTCTGTCATTTTGGGATATTTTACTTTCTTCTGGTCCAGCTCGTTCTGAGCCCAAAGTAGTAGTTTCAGTAATTTTGCCAGTTTGGGTGTTGACTCGCGATTTTCATAATCTAGGACAGCTTGGTTAACTTCACTCCACACCTAGAATGTAAATACATCAGATAAAAACCACCACACACGCAGAGCACCAGTAGAGTCTATTACAAACATGCAGTTTAAACAAAGATTAAGCCCTTAACTGCAAGACGCTCTCGGGACATGAAACACATAGTCCTTGCCTGGGGAAGCTCACAGTCTGGTCGGCAAATGTCACATCCAGCCTCGAGGGCAGTTAAGTGCCATGAGCAAGGCTTGAACAAAGTGCTGAGGCGACTGTGGAGAGGCAAGACCAGCGTAGCAGGACATAGCAGCGCCCTCCTCACAAGCCTCAAGAAAACATCTCAAGTGGACTCTGGGATAGGCCATCCTTCCAAGACAGTGCAGGGAGGACAGAGCCCGAGGAGAGGACCTGGGGGAAGAGGGACCTGGGTCTGGGAAGGTGAGGAGCTGTCATGTTCTGCCAGAGAAAAACAGCAGTGAGGAGAGAAAACTTTCAGAAAACAGGATTTTAAATGAAAAATACTTGGGACCTAAACAGGAAGAAGGTTCAGATAAACATGAGAAATCAGCAAAGGGTGTGAATACTCTGCAACGGACACCAAGTCTGTTGTCCCTAGTTTGACAAAAGATTAAAAGCCAGAGACGGGCCAGGCACGGTGGCTCACACCTGTAATCCCAGCACTCTGGGAGGCTGGATCACCTGAGGTCAGGAGTTTGAGAGCAGCCTGGCCAATATGGTGAAACCCCGTCTCTACTAAAAATACAAAAATTAGCTGGGCGTGGTGGCACACTCCTGTAGTTCCAGTTACTAGGGAGGTAGAGGCAGGAGAATCGCTTGAACACAGGAGGCGGGGGTTGCAGTGAACCGAGATCTCGTCACTGCATTCCAGCCTGGGCGACAGAGCAAGACTTCATCTCCAAAAAAAAAGTCATGAGGGAACCACTTAGCATCCCAGGCACAGAAGCCACCTCTCAGTCCACACCACAAAGCCACACACTTGGTGTCTTTGCGAAGCCCCCTCGGAGCATGCTGGGAGTGGAAGAAAGCTTCCCTCTGGTGGGCCCCACCTTCTGCCTCTGCATGGTGTGGAGGAGGTCTCCGAAGGGCGACTCCTCGGGACTGTCAAAGGCCAGCAGTGCCAGCGTACGCTCCATCTCTGTGAGGCACTCTCGGCTCTCCTCGCCCTGCTCCGCCAGCTGAGTCTGCGCAAACTCCAGCGCCGCCTCTGTCTCCCGCTGGCGGATCAGCTCGATCAAATGCTGTTGCTGGAGGCAGAGACAGACAAGCTTGACCCACACACACCCAAGACAGGGACTCAGGGCAGGTGGTACCAGGTCCCCATCAAAAGTACATCACAGAGGGAAGACTTTTCTTGCATCTCTGAGTTATCAAATTCCCATTTTTAAAACAAAAAATAGCTTCTGAACTACATAAAAGAGCAAACTCAAACCCCTCCCCCACACATGCATTAAAATAACATTAAAGCAAATTAGCCTAGTTATTTCTTGATCATTGCAAATAACTTTAACTTATCAAGTATCCACAAACCAGATTGCTCTCTCCTGAAACTTACCTGCAAATGGAAGTAAAGATACCGGTTTGTGTCCAAGAGCTCTGGGTGGAGGCTATTGATCAAGGCGATGGCCTCCTGAATCTGACCTTTCAGTATCATCTCCCGGATCTTGATTCGTTCATCAAGTGTTTCCAGATCCACACTAGGTTCGATCCCAGATTCCATTCGAAACTTCTCCGCTGCTTCCTTAAAGCCCTCTGAAAAGAAAAACCATCTTCACTGCTAGGAAAGTCAGCAAGGAATTAAGGCAAAGACTTTGTATCTCCAGAAACTCCAACTGCCTCAATTAATCACCTCTAATGTGAACCACACTTTCTCAGGAACCCGGTATTAATATCTTTGTAATTTACAAGTCATGCTCTCAAAATACATACAGAAAATGAGAAGAATATACTTCATTCCTTGTTATCCCATCTAAAAACTCTAACCTGTTAAGGGGTCAGAATGGCTGCTGGCCTAGTGTGTTGCTGTGGGTTCCTTTGAGAGGACAGATAATAGGTCCAGATGCCAGCAGCTGCAGCTCTGGTGCCAGATTAGGCAAGTCACACTGGCTCAGCCTCCACAGCCGGCTCAGCCTTCACAGCACAGGAGCCCTCCATGGCCAGCTCCACCTGCAGTGGCCTGGTGACTCCCACCTCTTAAGAGTGTCTATAATTTTTTAAAGCCAGCATGTGTGCCCCTTCCCCTGCCCCCGACATAATTATAGGCCTAAATTTCCTCATCACCTTCCAAAAATATTTTTTTTTGAGATGGGGTCTCACTCACTCTCCCAGGCTGGACGGCGGTGACACAGTCTTGGCTCACTGCAACCTCCATCTCCCGGGCTTAAGTGATCCTCCCACCTCAGCCTCCCAAGTAGCTGGGACTACAGGCACAAGCCACCATACCCAGCTAATTAAAAAATTGTTTTTGTAGAGACAAGGTCTTACTATGTTGCCCAGGCTGATCTCCAACTTCTAGGCTCAAGTAATCTTCCTCTGTCTCTCAAAGTGCTGGGATTACAAGCGTGAGCCACCACGTTTGGCCTAGAAAATTTTCACAGAGATTAATTTGGGAGTACGAAATGGGGACTAACAGGAGGGAGATTTTTCATGTCATGCCTTTTAAAAACATCTATTTTCTCGCCATATAAAGCACTGCCCTTCCTCCAGCTGACATCAAGAACAGCCTGAGTGTTATTTCCCTCTGCACACTTCTGCCCTTCCCCATTCTCGTCCTCTGAGTTGGGCATACCTTCTGGAAACAGGCCACCATACTTAAGCAGACTGGCCAGAAGAGATCAACAATTTGGCTTTAAATATACTTACTTCACAACAGTCTCAGTTATCTTGACTAACTGTAAAACTGTCAAAGGCTGAGAAATGGGTTTGTGTTAGGGCTCAGAGACCTGGAATAATCTCATCTTCAGAAAAGATTATCTTTCACATGATAATTTACAAACTTATCAGGTTAGCATTGTGTTTTTATAATGTCTGAACACAAATAACTACGTCATCAAACCTCATGGCTACAGCACTCCTTATGTGTTCAAAAAGGGAGAATCACATTCGCGCAACAACATCCTTGCTGTAAGCCATTACCTGTGACCAGGTAGTTCATGATGAGGCGGTTCATGTCTGCTCTCTGGACGTGCAAGTTATTGAGCTTTTCCATCCACTCATCTTTCGTGATTTCATCGGGTTTTTCTGCATAACTCATTCTGATTTATTTCTACAGGAAAAAAATAACAGCTGAGCGAGGGGTTTAGATGCTCCTCCAGGTGCAAAGGGTAGCGCTGGAGAGCTGTGAGCTAGAGAATCCCACACTGAGCATGCACTGAAAGAGAACGCTGCCATGGGACACCCACCAGACTGAGAACGCCAGTGCTTAGCAAAGAAGAAGTTCACTTGAACTTTTCTACTGCGGCATCAGGAGAATGGACTATACTACGAAAACAATCTGGCATTCCTTATGAAGCTGAATATGTGTGCTCCTCACAACCCAGGAATTCTACTTTTAATACATTTATATTCTAGAAAAACTCACCAGGATGCACCAAACACAGACAACGCTGTTCACAGAAGCACTGTTCAAAGCGGCAGAAATGTGGAAGTCACCCACCTGAGCGTTCCTTCAACAGCAGCATGGACCAAGGGACTGTGGCACACAGAACAACTGTGTGTTTAAAACCCTTGGGCAGATGGGTTTTGGAATTCAGAATTCTTCAATGTACAACGATTATTTGGCACAATTTACCATCTAACAGCCTCACTGGAGTTTGGGGGAGCTCCCCATCATCAGACATTATTTCTTCAGTGTAATGTGTTAAGTATCCATACTAAGTAGTAGAGGCTATTGAACTTCACCTGGTGAGGTTTTGGCCACCAAACAGGTTAAAAACAAAACCAGAAACTTTGGTTTTAGAGATGTTTAGATTTCAGCATTGCTGAGAAGGAACAGTGGTCATGTATTCACACAAGAGAATTTCATAAAGCAGTTAAAATAAATGAACATCACACAAAGTCACATGGATGACTCTCATAAAACAATTTGAATGAAAAAAGAGAGATGAGGGAGAGGCAAAATGTGGCCTGAGTTTTATTAGGAACAACAAAATACATGATATGTGCTTTAGCAACAAATATGTGGCAAACCTATTTTGTTTTTTAAAATAAGGGCATGAAAGCTGACACTCAGCAGGGGGTTATCTGTGGGAGGGGCAAATGGCTGAAGCCTGAGGCAGTTGCTGCAGCTATGGGAGAATGGGCAGGTACCTGAGACAGGCAGGGGTATGCCACAGTCCACTCGGTCTTTCTGTTTTGTGATGCTACTTTATACAAAGTACTGCTGAAGTGTTTCAATAAATTAAAAAACTTTGGTCTCTTGGCTGAAAATGGGATGAATGCAGGGTGGTGAGAGCTGAGCAGCAGGTCCATTAGGGAGACACCCAAGTGAGAGAGAACATCATCAGAAGAGATGGGGAGCAAGGTGAGATCAAGATGCTTTGGCCGCAGAGTCAATGGCTGCTGCTGGACAGAAGATTACCGGACAAAAGAAAGGGAAGAATCGAAGATGGTCACAGGTTTCAAGCATGAGAGGCCCTGCAAGATGGGACCACAAATAAGGAGGAAGGACTGGAACAAGAACAGGTTTGAGGAGCAGGGCAAGTTTGACGTGACTATTAGACATGCGGCTGGAGAAATCAAGCAGGTGCCTGGATTACATATCCTGAGCTCACTGCTGAAAACATGAATTAGTGAAACGGGGGGTGGGGGTGGGGTGGGGGCACAGGGATATTTAAAGCCAAGAATTCAGCAAAGACCATAGAGTGAGTGTAGATAGGGAATGAGAATCGTCATTACTTGGAGGATGCCATCCTTGAAGGCCAAGCAGAGAAAGTGGCACCAGCAGAAGAAAACTTGCTGCGGAGCGGCAGGTACAGTGGAGGAGAAACCAGGAGTCAGTCGCTGTCACACACGAACACCCATTCTCTCATATCAATTGCAAAACTCACTGAGACCAAATTTTTATTCACGACAATTAAAGGTAACTTAAGGACCCATTTTCTCTTTCTTTCTTTTTTCTTTTTTTGAGACAGGCTGGACGGCAGTGGCGCGATCATGGCTCACTGCAGCCTCGACCTCCTGGGCTCAAGCGATCCTCCCACCTCAGCCTCCCAAGGAGCTGGGACAACAGGAGCGCACCACCCCGCCTGGCTAATTTTTTTATTTTTAGCAGAGACGGGAGTCTCGCTGTTGCCCCGGCTGGTCTCGAACTCGTGGGCTCAAGAGATCCGCCCATTTCGACCTCTGCCACCGCGCACGGCCCTAGGACCAAGGTTAAGAGGTCCCTACGAAAAGGTACCTTTTTCTCTCAGCCCATTCGGTGATCGGCACTCACAGCGCTTCCACTCCGGGCAGTTACACGCGCCCATGAAAAGCAACAACTTTGTAGAACTGGCCCGTCCTGTTGTTAGCAGGAAGAGCTCGGTAGTCTTAAACTCCAGCATAACAAGATTCAACAGAAGAAAACCCTACTTTCTATGCCACACTTTACGTCCTCACCCGCTCGGTTTCTGCTTTAAAGCAGCAGATTTTGTTTAAAAGACCTCGTTACAGACGTCGCTCCTCCACAGAGACAGCTACCGCCGCCCCTCAGGCTGGCAAGGACCGCCCCTGAACACCGGCGCCTGAGGCCGCGCGCCTGGAGGCTGAGCCCTGACTGCCCCCTGGACACCGGCGCGGGGCGGCCGTCCGGAGCGGGATTCACTGCACGCCCCAGCTCCGCACCTGCCAACGCCGGCGCTTCCAAGGCCCCCAAAACGCGGGCGGCGCGCACCCCGGCCGCATCCCGCCTGCCAGCCCGCCCGGGTCCCGGGAGACGCTCGGCCCGGCCGCCTGGGCCCGCCGCCGCCGCCATCTTACCGTGCGGAACCTGCCTCCCACGCTGCGCGGTCTGGGCGGCTGCGATTCCGCAGCCTTTCCTGGGCCGGGGAGGGGTGGCGGCGGCTGGGGCGCCCGAGTAGAAGGAGGCGGAGGCGGGGGCCGCGGCGGAGGCGGAGGCGGGGGCGGGGGCGGGGGCGGGGAGCGGGAGGGCAGGCGCACCGGCGGCCGCCCCTCAGCACCTCTCGCGACAGCACGAGAGCGCGAGAGCGCGAGCCGATGACCAATGAAGCGCCCCCGCGAGGAGGCGGGGCGGACGGCCTCCCGGAAGCGCGGGACCTAGTTTCCGTCCTTGCGCAGAACTCGCCTCGCGGAGTCGTCGCGCTACGGGTTGGCGCCAGAGTCAAAAGGCGTCGGCCGCCTCTGGCAAGATGGCTGCTGCAGAGGCGTTGGAGTGCGGAAACCTGGAGCCGGGATGGCGACGTCTACACTGAGTCGGAGGCGAAGGTCCCAGCTCTTTTCCTGTCGTTTGCGTGAGGCTGGACGGAGTGGGGCGGGGGAAAGGCGCCGGGTGTCCGCGGCCGCCCCTAAGACGGGGAAGGAGTCCCCTCCGGACCGGCGGCCTTCCAGGGCTGGTGTCCCTGAGGCCCGGGGAGAGACCGCGGACCCGAGACCGGGCTGGGCGAGAGCTGTGCTCTCTGCTCGTTGAAGCGAGTTCCTCGGCTTTACTCGAGATGTTATTGAGCGCGTCCTCAATCGAGGCCAGGTGGGGAATCAGAAGGGCCCTGCCCTCAGGGCGCCTCCCAGGGGCTGCGCCGAAGGGCGGGTCGCGGCCAGGGCGCGCGGGACAAAGAAGACCCCACATGCTTGCGGGGCGGAGTCCCGGCGGCGGCGCGGGGCAGGGTCGGGGGTACTCGGTCACTGGAGACCGCCGGGCAGGAGCGCGGGTTGAGGCCGCACTTGGGTATTTGCGCGTTTACTTGCTTATTGCCTGTCCGCTCGGGAGGAGTGCAAACTCTGTCATCGCAGGGTCCCATGTTTCTGTTGCTGGGAAGTAACTTAAAGTATTTAATAGAGCCGAAGGAAGAAATAGAGTCCTTGAGGGGCAGCTCCTGATTTCATCTGCGAGGAATTGACGGGACGGCTTCTTTCTGAAGTAGCAGTCGGGGGTGAGGTGGTTTCGTGTGTTTGCTTGCAAGTGAGTTGAATAACGTGTAAGCTATGTCGGTCGGTCTACTTAGCGACAGTAAGTCCAGTTCGGCAAATAGTTTGGAGGAAGACTGGTTTTGGACATTTTCCGGTAATCGAAGGAGCTAAATCTACAGGTCTAAAGTCTTGACAACGTTATGCTTCATACACAGAGGCAGTACAAGCCAGTAATTACATCATTTGCAACTACCTAACCCTCTGGTCAACAGTTCTTGGTATTTATTTATTTGTTAATTTTAGACGGAGTCTCACTCTGTCGCCAGGCTGGAGCGCAGTGGCGTCATCTCGGCTCACTGCAACCTCCACCTCCCGGGTTCAAGCGATTCTCCTGTCTCAGCCTCTCGAGTAGCTGGGACTACAGGCGCGCGCCGCCACGCCCAGCTAATTTTTGTATTTTTAGTAGAGATGGGGTTTCACCTTTTTCGTCAGGCTGGTCTCGATCTCTTGACCTCGTGATCCGCCCGCCTCAGCCTCCCAAAGTGCTAGGAATTACAGGCGCGAGCCCCCGCGCCCGGCCTATTTTTATTTTATTTTATTTATTTTTTGAGAAGGAGTCTCACTTTGTTGCCCAGGCTGGAGTGCACTGTCACGATATCGGCTCACTGCAACCTCCGCCTCCTGGGTTCAAGTGATTCTCCTGCCTCAGCCTCCCGAGTAGCTGGAACTACAGGCACCCGCCACCACGCCCGGCTAATTATTTTGTGTTTTTAGAACAGGCGGGGTTTCACCATGTTGGCCAGGCTGGTCTCGAACTCCTGACCTCAAATGATCACCCACCTTGGCCTCCCAGGGTGCTGGGATTACAGGGGTGAACCACCGCGCCCGGCCTATTTTTATTTTTTAAGTTTTTTAGAGACGGGGTCTTGCCTTCTTGCCTAGGCTGGTCTCCATCTCCTGGGCTCAAGCCATCCTCCCACCTCGGCCTCGGAAGTGCTGGGTTTACAGGCGTTAGCCACCACGCCCAGCCTGAACGTCAACGAAAACGTGTGCAAGGGGATGCAAGTGTGCAAGGGGAGGCGTGAGCAGAAAGTGTGAGTGCTAGCGCCTTCGGGGACATTCCTTAACAGTCCAGGTCAAAGAGGCTTTCTCAGTGCTTGCCTGTGGGTCACAGGTTAATACCTCTCCTCCCAGCAGCCAGCCAGTTACCAAGTCCTACTTGAGCCCCCTCCTTAATCCTCTCTAGAAACTGGCTCCTTTGTGTTGTTTCCCAGCCTCTTCCACCATAAATGGAAACCATCATCTTTGCTTTTTGGACTGCCAGGGCGTCTCCATAACTCCTGTTGAGTTCCAGAAGTCCTGTCACTACCTCTCACATAGCAGACGGGGTGATCTCTCCAAAAGCCATCACTCATTGACTCTAGCCTCCTAACATCCCTTGGGGACTCCCCAATTGCCTATGTAAAGTTAGCGCAGCTGTAAGTCTGCACTCCTGATCTTACTCTCTGCTCCAGCCATCCCAGCCGACTGGAGGTTTTCTCGTGTCAGCAAGCTTTGTTATCGCTGTGCTCTCACAGTCTGGGCCCTGCGTGTAAAACACTTCCCTAGGCTAACTCCTGCTCACCTCCTCAGTAGAGAGGAGGCTTTCTTGGGGAAGTCTTCCCTAAACAAAGCTGGATTGAGTGCCTTTCCTTTATACTTGCACACAATCCTAAATTACCTTTTGGTGGCCCTTAGCACACGGTCCGTGTGGTTACCACCTGATGGGATGTCATGATTCACCGTAAAATGGTAAGCTTCATGCGAGTTGATTATGGCTGAAGTCTAGTTCGTAATAGGAGTTCCATAAATATTTATTTGTTGAGTGATGAAGGAATAAATGAGAGAATGATTATGAGGATCTTAACTAGAAGCAATACTAGCAAAAATGGAAAGAGACCTTCAGTCAGGGGGGAAATGAGCAGTCCTTGGTGGGACTGCTAATTTGTGGGAGCTAAGAAGGAAGACCAGAGTGATGCGGGTGAGTAGCACAGCTGATGAGGTGGTGGCACCAACTGAGAATGATCATGAGGAAGAAGGAGGTGCAACAACGAGGGAAAGGTGGTGCGTTCAGCGTGGGCCTCGTTGAATTGGAGGTGCCTGTAGGACACATCTAAAGCTCAAGGGGAAGAGCAGGGTGAGAGCTGAGAGTTGATGGGTACAGTATTCAGAGGAAGTCTGTGGAGACAAGGAGTGGATCAAGTCCGGAATGCAGAGCTGCAAGCTGTATTCGCTGAGGAAGAAGTTGCCTATGAACGGGGTAGCAAGAAGACCAGGGGGGTCTGACAAGAACCAGGGGCTTCAAAGGTGCTCCTTGAAGCCACAAGGTGTTGAGTTTCAAGAAGCTATGTTAGCAGTTTCCAGCAGGGAAGTCCAGGGTGAAGCTGCCAAAACTCGTCTTTGATAGTTTTTGGTGAGAGAGCAAGAAGTTGAGTGATGTGATGGGAATGGGAAACATTGGAGTGTGTTGAACAGGGGTGAGGTGAAGACAGCGTAGTATATTGAAGGCGTTCAGAAGCTCCACGCACATATGTACTGAGAAGTGAGCAGTGAGCTAGATGCCACCAAATGCTGCAGCAGCAGGTGAGACTGAGGAGCAGGGAGGGGGGTCAAGGATCATTTCTCAGCTTCTGGCCTATGAATGTATAGGGTGGTGGGACCATCCTCTGGATAGGGAACGCCAGAGAAGAGTCTGGATGTATGTAGTAGGGAGGTCAGAAGTCCTAAGCTCATTTTGCTTGCGTTAGATAGGTTTTGAAGTGCATTTGAGGCATTCACATGGAGATGCCAGGGGAGCAGGTGAATGATGGTGCCTGGATCCAGGCGGAGATAAAGGCACCTACAGCCAGGTGTGCATGAAGTCTCCGTGGAGAAGGTATGGGTGGAGGGAGAGGAGGAGAGCCTGGGCCAGAGCTCTGAAGACACCAGCACGGAGGGTCACCAAGGGTGCGGGAGAGCAAGGAAAGAGGTAGGTGGGTCCTGGGACAGCTCGAGAGGGTGCAGGGCCACACCGGTTGACATCTGGGACAGTGACAAGGATTTCAGCCTGCTGGATTCATCAACTGCCTGAGCTTTCCTATGACAGAGGTGGGCCTGTGGACTGGAGAAACCACAGGCTTGGTTGGCCCTTACCGTCAGCTGAGGGGCAACCAGGTGTTCAGAGCTTTCAGTGTCTTGCAAGCTGAGGTGGTGGCTTTGAACTTGAGTTCTTTCATATTGAAAGAGATGAACAGAAAGAGGAGTGCTAAAGGTATATTAGTTGTAAAAGAACATTAATGAGTTTTTAAAAAGGGGAAAGCAGTTTGCCTAGGCTGGAGTGTAGTGGTGTGATAACAGCTCACTGCAACCTACACCTACACCTCCCAGCTAATCCTCCCATATTAGCCTCTTGAGTAGCTGGGACTACAAGCGGAAGCCACCACACCCAGCTAATGTCGTTTATTTTTTGTAGAGGAGAGTTCTCACTATGTTGCCCAGGCTGTTCTCAAACTTCTGGGCGCAAGCAATCCTCCCACCTCGGCCTCCCAGAGTGCTGGGATTACAGGTGTGAGCCACTACGTAGAGTGTTTCCTGTACTCAAATCATAGAATGTTTAAAAAACCAGGATATCAGCCGTGTTTCAAAACCACATTATTCCCATGGATGTTTTGTTTTACTCTGAAAACCCAAAAGCGTAAAATCAAACCCCTACATACTGGAGACTTCAGGCTTTCAAAGAGATTGGGCAAATCAAACCACCTTATTTTTCAGGATAATTGATAAACCCATCCGTTGTTGATGCTCAGAATGATTAGCACAAGTAGGAAGGAAACACGCAGACCTCAATTTTCATAGACTTCACTTTTCACAGTATTTTAAACAATTATTCTTAGACATGTTGGAAAGGGGTAAGGAAGAATTTTCCTATAGTCTGCTGCACATATTATTATTATTATTATTATTTTTTTTTTTTTGAGACAGAATTTCGCTCTTGTTGCCCAGGCTGGAGTGCAGTGGCGCGATCTTGGCTCACCACAACCTCCGCCTCC